GGCTTTATTTCCTGACGTCTGGCCTCTGAAGATGGAGGAGAGTTTAACTTTGATTTGCAGGAGATACTCAGCTGATGACACATTATTACCTGATCTCTGGTCATTTAATTTCTGTCCATATTATTTCAGTTTGGGTAAATTATTTCATTATTTTCTAATGTTTTCTCAGAAACAAGCAGCTGCCCATGAGTGCTAATTGCAACCAGCTTGGGGTTTATCATTCATATTGTTCAAAAAATAATTATGCGAAGGCAAGTCATGTCCTTAAACCCAGTGTGTGTCTGTGTGTGTGTGTGTGTGTGTGTGTGTGTGTGTGTGTGTGTGTGTGTGTGTGTGTGTGTGTGTGTGTGTGTGTGTGTGTGTGAAAATATGCAATGTATAGTTATTTTGGACTAGGACTTTGTCATTAATAGTTATTTATTGGTAGTAGAAGTGTGTTATCAAATCTTGATGAATCAGGGTTAGGGTTAGGGTTGATTTTTTTTAGATAATTATTTTCCATTTCACCACTTGATTGTTAACTTTGTGAGATTATTTAATAGTTTTGTTTGTTGTATTTGTGTGGCTTTAGTGTGGACATGTTTGTTTAACTTTAAGTTTGTGGACTCCAGGATGAATAGCCAATGCTAATGCTAATGCTAATGGACAACCCATATAGACGAGACAAGCAATTACCATTCATATGTCTGCTTTGCATGAAAAAATCCTTTTATTTTAATCAATGAATGTTACAAAACGCTGACCTTTTGATGCATATGCTATTTAACTAATGCTTGTAATGGTGCATCATGTTATAACTCAGTGAGAGAGCAGAAATGTCAGACGAGTGGGCGTTTGAGCGTGTGGCGTCTTCATTATTAGTGACAGTCTTTTGGATTACTTGACTGAGCTACTGTCTGCTCTGCGATGCCTATCTGCTAATGAACCAAACAAACACAATAATAGCCTATTGAACTCCAGAGAGCAGTCTCTATCAGGCTTTCCCAACAACAGTTTGTGGGCTTGCTGTCAGTACGTTTACATATCTGATGAGACTTCAGCCGTGACTCATGCTTTATAAGAATATATTACCGTTAAGGGAGTGCATGACTTTTTGGGAAACATATTTTGGGATGCACTATCTTGCTGAAAATTAGATGAGATCATTGATACATTTCTCTTATTTGTTGCAGCTGTAGCAGAGAGACGTCAGTAGCTCAATAGGGATTTGGTTTGGGAACAGAAGGGATGCTGGTTCAAGTCCCCCCTCTCCCGCATAAATAGTTTCATCCATTTCCTAGTACTTTGTACCGGTCAAATGCAGACAAAATGTCTGTGTTTATATGCACATACGTATGAGGATTAAAGAGGAATTCATATGAATCCTCCATTGCCATTTCCAAGAGACGGTAGTTTAGCATAAAGACTGGTGGCCAAAAACATGTTTTTCAATTATTTTCAAGCCCTTGTCTTAAATAAACAATACAAGCTTGCCTGAACCAAAGCTTGCTTTTCGTGTGTGTGTGTGTGTGTGTGTGTGTGTGTGTGTGTGTGTGTGTGTGTGTGTGTGTGTGTTTGTTTGCTGAACCTCATGCCCTTTTTAGATCCCATCAAACTAAACCTCTGTTGACTTAAGGAAAGCAAACATGATGCAAACAACCTGAGACAGGAATAGTAAAATGACCCAGCAGAGTGACATCAATCCTCCTGAGGAATGACCCGTGAGGAAAACTATTCTGGTAAATAATTCTGCCTTTTTGACTGACCTATCATACAAATATGAAAAAGACTTGCACACATTTTACTAAATGGTTTGATGGAGCATCATTTCATTATCCTGTATCTTACAGATATCTGTAGTAAATACCTTTAACCTCCTGTATTTATAATATGTGAGCACGGAGTCTTTTATGGTCAGAAGCTTAAATACAAATACAATACACATTTCTTTCATTAAGATATGCTTCCTACCTAAATATTCCGTAATACACCTATACCAGTTATTATTCCTCTTGTACGGTGGTTAAAAAAACATGCAGTATAAATAATCAATCAAATTATTATTAAATGGACTTTGAGTTTCTTCAAAAAAAGCTGATGATGATGATGATATTACACCCCTCTTTATTTGTTATCATTTATTGTAAAAGTTATCAGTTTCTTACTTTTTTTTCCTAAATTGTTGTTTATTTGTGTTTACATATTCTCTTTGTGCTTCTCAATTATAAATGTTATATATATTTTCCCTTACAAAAAAAAAAAAACTGAACTGAATATTGCCCTTGTTTTTTTTGTAAGGGAAATATATCATTTATAATTGAGAAGCACAAGAAGCCAAAGTAATATTATATTAATAAAATAAAAAATAATAATAATAATAATAATAATAATAGGGAAGAAAAGAGAATATGTAAATACAAATAAACAATAATTTAAAAAGAAATGTTATGAAACTGATAACTTTTACAATAAATAATAATAATATAGAGAAAAAGTTTAATATAGAGCACCTTTCAACACAAGGCAATTCTAAGTGCTTTACAAACATGAAAGACAATAAGAGCATTAAGAAACATATTATAAAAGGGCATTTAAAAACACTCATTTAAAAGCAAAGATAATAAAACATGAATAACAAAAGGTACATTAATTAAAGTTACAGTGCAGTGTGAGATACAGGTCTGACTCTCAATCATTGCTAACTTTTTACCTCACTTTCTAGAGGGCAGTTCAAATAAAAAATATATATTTAAAATTGTCTCGAAGCTGATATCTGAACAGAATATAAGTTTGTGAGCAGCGTTGTTTGAGGAGAGGTTGGAGGACATCACACCTCCTCCATGTTGTGGGAGTGACAGTCACATTTCCTCCAGCCTCTCCTTCACTGACAGGACTGCATTACTGTCATCCTGATCAAGTGTTACAAATCAGTAAACAAAAGAACCACCACGAGTTTCAGACTTTCTTATTATGCGTGTGTGCGGCCTTCGTTATCAGGAGGATGCTCTCTGATTAGACTTTACTTTGACTTCGATGCAGGATGAAACTCAACGTGAATCTGTAACAATAACAAATTCAATGTAAGGGCACAGGAGCTACAAAGGAAACAGGGATGTGCAGCTGTAATATAATGATGTATTACCATCTCGTTATGCTCTCAAGTATACTCAACACTTGGTTGTGTATTTGGTCGTACAGTCAAGTCTAAAGAGACATTTGTATCCCCTTTCCCCACTTCCAGTTCAAATGTTCATGTGTCTAAGCATCCATCCTCTGTTAGTGACTCGCAGGATGGCATGTGAAAATAGCCTGAAATCTATGAGGACATTATTTGAATAACTAATAAGTCTTTTAGTGTAGATGGCCCCTGCAATGAGGAGCTATGAAAAGTACCAAAACACACCGGCTGGTCGGACTGTACACTAAAGCTCATCTGGACAGTTTATAATAACTGTCCCTGGCAGAAAGGTAAACAAAGGTCAACAGTGCTGACATTTATAAAAACATCCCAAGAGACCCAACGCAATTAACCTGTCAGTTGGCTATTTAGCTAGCAACCGTTAGCTTAATATCTACCAAACGTTATCTATCTATCTATCTATCTATCTATCTATCTATCTATCTATCTATCTATCTATCTATCTATCTATCTATCTATCTATCTATCTATCTATCTATCTATCCATCCATCTATCTATCTATCTATCTATCTATCTATCTATCTATCTATCTATCTATCTATCTATCTATCTATCTATCTATCTATCTATCTATCTATCTATCTATCTATCTATCTATCTATTGAATGCTGGCTATTTACCTAGCTATGGCCACATGTTTGGCTCTCACAATTTAAGATTAGAGTTATTATTTAACACCCTGGTTAGACTTGCAGTGCAGACCTGTGTCTACGTTCAGGCAGTTAGAGTAATTATAAAAACATTGCTGACGTGTTTTTTTTTTAGGCAGACCGGCTGCTCTCACAGCTCATAAAAATCACTGTGTATTCCCAAATATGCGTTTTTGGGCTATAGTCAACACATATTGTTGACTATAGGTACCTGCTGTGTGGACTGAGGCTGGAAAACGGAGTCTTATTTTGATTATGGTCCTTGGTCTTGGAATGACCTTCAATCAAGCCTCAAACTGATGGCACTCGTCCCTATAACCTGTTTTAAATTGAAGTTGTCTGAGGTCCTTACCACCAGCTGCTCTTGCATTAATATGTAGTGTACCTTACTGTCTTTTTGTTTACTTCGTTGTGTTTTCTGTATTTTATATGTCTGCGTTATGTGTAAGAACGTGTAACGTTGCTGCCTTCTTGGCCAGGTCAGCATTGTAAATGAGATTTTGACTCAATGTTTTCATCTGGTTAAAGAAAGGTTAAATACAAATATTAGTAATCAAAATAGTTAGTTTCTTGCATGAAAAAGGGTTATAACTTAGTAACCATTCATTAAAAAGCTCAAAAACTGTTTCTTTGGCAAGTTAAGGTTGATAAAGCTGGCCACCCCATTATATCCATTACGCTTTAAATGGAAGACATTATATGGAAATGCGGACTAGAGCCGGCAAAGCAGAAGGTGAATTAATTATTGAAGAATTGTCTTAGCTATTTTTCATTAACGTACTCTTGTTTTAACTGTATCCCATTATGTTCTGTATGCCTTGTGACCATTTAATTTTGTAAAATGCAAAACAAATGAAGAGAGATAAATGACTTCCTTTTGTTCCCTTTCCTCTCCTGCATCTTCCTCTTCCATCTTCATCTTTCTTCATCACCCTTTCTCTCACTCTTTTCTCCTCCTTCCTTCTCACCATTTACTTTCTCTATCCTAACTCCAATCTTTCCTGCTGCCTCACGTCCTGCTCTTCCTCCAACTTCCTCCTCCCTCCCTCCCTCCCTCCCTCCTCTTCCTCCTCTCAGTGATGAAGGAGGGAGTTTTAGAAAGAGAGAGGATGAGAGGAGGAGGTTGAAGGGGGGGTGGGTCTCTATAAGAGCAGCTGTCTGCAGACTCCACGTAGCCAGAAAAACCTGCAGAGACCGAGGGAAGTAAACGTAAACGCTGACCAACATCTACCTGCACCGAGGGACCCTAAAGGCACACGCCCCAACACAGGTAGGAAAACATGCCTTGACCTCTGACCTCTGACCTTTGATATAGATCATTTTGTGTTTTGCATGTAAGTCGTATTCGTTTTTAAGAATCCTTAACAGTAACCTTAACCTTAACCTTAACCTCAAGTAAAAAAGAGTTTAATTGACGACACCTTGTCCAGAAAGTAAAGATAACATTTTAAATCCTTTTAACTTCTTGGTTGTTTCTTACGTTTAAATGTAGAAGATTAAGAGAGTCCAATAAATTAATTCTATTTAAGTGTGTTTTGCATATAATTTGCACAACGAAATACTTTTTTATGTCACAAAAAGTCAACTTGGGGATACACTCACAAGAAATTGATGGGTACAAGACGTTTTTTCATCTTAAAAAAAGTCAAATTGAAGACATGCTCTTAGGGAAGTAAGGATATCATTTTAAATACCTTTGATGCATCTTTTGTTGACCAATATGAGACATCAATCCAAATGTAAATTACATTTCAACTTAAATCAAAATTCAACTTAATCAATTGCACTTTTGATGACAGTAAAACTGTAAAAAGTGCACCTCCTGACCTCTTCAGAAAGTGGTGATATCATTTCAAATCTCTTTCCCTCTTTAGATGCAACATGTTTTGTTAATGAAGCAGTTTTAGATTATAGTTGGGAGAGCCCAATACATAAATGCAATACAAAAATTCAACTTAAACAATTGCACATAAGGGATGAGTTACAGACTTTTACTGAAAGAGTTGCATTTGATTTTCCCATCGGTCTTTGTGTGCGTCACCTGTTTAAAGGTGCTAGTGTTAAGGTGCGTCAAACTTCTGACCTTTGAAACCGAACCCTTTGTATTTTTACAAAAGGCCTAATTGGAGACACACTGGACCCATTAGAGTTGTTCTTTATTAGTATTTGTCTGCGTCACTTGTCTACGTATCGTTACGCCTGCTCTACGTTTCACTGTTGCATCTTTTGTCGTGACGCCGTGACCTTCTGACCTTTGATCTTTCTGCGGCCGAGTGCTTGTGACGACCATCTTTATCTATTGGATAGACCTAAAACCTTTTCATTCATGCAGTCTGACACTAACATGTTTAAGAACATTTCTTCCCTTTCAACGTGAATGGGATCGATATTCAGGGAAATCTCGTCACATATCATGCACTGCAGAGACTCACACGTTAAAGGGTTACGTCAATGTGAGGAAAGACGTTTAAACCAATCACGAGACTCCGCTGATGAGGTATTTTGAGCCCCGGACGACATTGACGTAAATGCACCCGTTTAGCATTTACGTCAATGCTAGTTGTTTGTGAAACTTTTATTATTGAAAGAGATACAAGAAAGTTGGCACCAGATAAAACCAGCTATCCAGCCAATTATGACTACAACAATAAAAGCAAATGAATTTATACGAACAACAATAGTAATAATAAAAACAAATAGGCTTTTCACATTGCTAAAAGGCTCTTTACAGGCAATACAAACAGGATTTCTGCTGTATGTAGTTTCATTTTGTTTCATTTAGGAGTGGTTGTAGTTAGATATGAAGTCGTCTTTACAAAACCAACTTTTACTGATTTGATTCTGGACAAATATTCACAAAATGTGTCTTTTATATTACCTAAGACCTTGACCATACTATGCAAGGCCATTTTATATATAAACAATTAGCACATTACAGTTCAAAGTGCTTTACAAAAAACATTTAAAGCATTTAGATCATATCAGTCAAAGCCAAGAAGATGCGATTAAAATAAGCAAAAATATAATAACAGGTAGACTGACATAGAAAAAAATGAAAAATAAAATACAAGAAGAAAAGTTGCAGTGCAGTTTAAGATATATAAGTGTTTGATTTAATAAAATAACCAGCTGATACGCCAATCTTTTCCTATTTCTATTTGAGTGTTATGGCGGTTTGCACCCACATGTGTTGCATTGATGCTAAAACAAACACCAGTGTGGTAAATAGCATCAATGTAACACGTCTTATGGAGCACATATGGACTGTTGTGCTAAACTTCCCCACGGTGAAATACTGCATGTTAAGTGAGTTAAAAGCACAAAGAGGCTTCACATAGGAAAAGATTGGCGGAAGAACGTTCTGCTTTTATGATGCAAACAAATTGATATTAAGCAACCAGTAATGCCAACATTAATTACAGTGTAATCAGAGTTTTTCAATTGTAATTGCATTGTAATATTATATTTTAACTGTACTATAATATTATATTGACCTGTATCTTAATCTTGTTTTATAATTGTTTGTTTGATAGAGATTATGCAATGTTTTTAGTATTTATTGATTGATATGTACCTGCCTAAGGACTGCAGATGGAAATTAGCTATTAGCTCAAATCTGGCATAAAACATCAAAGTCAAAAGTCAAAGTCAACTTTAAAGGTGGGGTAAGTAAGTTTGAGAAACCGGCTCGAGATACACTTTTTGTTATATTCCATGGAATGCTCTTAACATCCCGATAGCAATGAATATCTTAAGTGCTTTGACAAAAAATCCATAAAAAAAATGTCATCTGTGGAAGCCGTGGTACTGTAAAAAGCACGACCAATCATCTGAGCCGGCCCGGCTAAAATAACTGGATGGCCTACCTGCCTGTCAGCCTTCCATCTGTGCACAAACTTATCTCGTGCCCTCATTGGTCATGTGCGCGTTCGTGTGTGTTGGAGGAGGGGCTCTGTAAGGAAGTGGCAGATTTTCTCCGGTTGTGTATTTTCAAATTCTAGCGATCTCAAGCCGGTTTCTCAAACTTACCTACCCTACCTTTAATGTACATTTTTCTGTGTGTTTGTACAGACAGAGAGATCAAAATAACGTTTATTCTCTTTTCTGAGATTAATGTATTTGTATGCATGGTCCTTGTTTAACTAAATACAAAACACACACTGCAAAGATATCTGAAGGTGTATCGCTCCGTCTGAGGACTACACACGTTTGTTTGGTCGAGAGGAAAAGGTCATAAACAGATCGTCCATATTACTCATTACTCGTTAGGCCTGATTTACTGCCACGCTCCGCTGGTTTCATGAATGAAAGCAGGATCAGAAAGCTTCTGTGTGTTTACACCGGGCTTTAAGACTGAGTAATAGGAGGTCATCTGGGTGAGTGCACCTTGATTTATCAGGGTCACGTTCTCTCATCTCACTTCATTACTGGATTATTTTTAGGCACTGGCCTGAAGGTATCTGAGTCTATATCTTACACATAGTTTTAAAGGAAATACTCCGGCTTTTTCTTAATTATTGTATCTATTACTTGTTGAATCCGTTATTTTGTACACTTTTATCGATTTATATATATTTTTTCTATCCTGGTATCCTTGTATTTCAGAATCAGAATCAGTTTTATTACCAAGTACATTTACACACACGAGGAATTTACTTTGGTATAATTGGTGCATACATAGACACAGAAAGAAGAATATGATTTGATTGATCTCTTTCATTAATTATATGTATATTTATTCATTTAGCTATTTGTAATGTTAGTTAAGAAAGATGTCATAAATGTTTGTATAAATATTATTATTATTAGTCTTGTTTTAATAAATAAAACATATTAATATTGATATTGAAATGTACTGTAAGTTATAATATAATATATCATAAGTATATATTATTAGAATGTTTTAGAAAACAACTTGATGAAACATGCGTTTACTGAAAGCGCTGCACGAACGAAACTCTGCAAATATTTCCATCGTTTATAATCCTGTCAGATAAACGTAGTGAGAAAAATGTAGAATATTTGCTTCCAAATTGTTGTCGAGTAGATGTATAAAGTACCACAAAATGTTTACTTTCCACCATCATATTTGTCACTTAATGAAGTAGCACTGCTTCACATGAAGTCATGTGTTTTATGCAACACTGATGGCAGTTTTCTTCGTGGTAAATTGGTAAATAAATTGTCGTCAGAGTGTAGTTAATGCGTCCCAGTTAACAATCAATTCCACTTGCAAACCTACATTGAAACACACACTAAGAACAAAGTCCAAAATAAATCCATACAGTACATGGTATTAATCAACCAAAAAAACACACTGAATGCAGAAGACAAACATAATAAACATAAATCTGTTTGTCATCTTGCAATTTACTTATTTATCGAAATAGTTATCACCGTAATAAACCGTATTTAATTTCATCATACTGTACAATATTTAATTTTACATTCTGTTCTTGTATATATCATATTCTATTTACGTGTGTATAGACTTCTTGCACAATTATTTTGTTTGTATTTTATTATATATGTTGCATCATTGGAGGAGCTCGGATCAGAAGAATTTCATTGCCATTACTGTAGCTTATGTGACATTAAAACCTTTATATCTTAAATCTTTGAATCTTTGAATCATTAGATAGATAGATAGATAGATAGATAGATAGATAGATAGATAGATAGATAGATAGATAGATAGATAGATAGATAGATAGATAGATAGATAGATAGATAGATAGATAGATAGATAGATAGATAGATAGATAGATAGATGGATAGATGGATGGATGGATGGATGGATTGATAGATGGATAGATGGATAGATAGATAGATAGATAGATAGATAGATAGATAGATAGATAGATAGATAGATAGATAGATAGATAGATAGATAGATAGATAGATAGATAGATAGATAGATAGATGGATAGATGGATAGATGGATAGATGGATAGATGGATGGATAGATGGATAGATAGATAGATAGATAGATAGATAGATAGATAGATAGATAGATAGATAGATAGATAGATAGATAGATAGATAGATAGATAGATAGATAGATAGATAGATAGATAGATGGATGGATGGATGGATGGATGGATGGATGGATGGATGGATGGATAGATAGATAGATAGATAGATAGATAGATAGATAGATAGATAGATAGATAGATAGATAGATAGATAGATAGATAGATAGATAGATAGATAGATAGATAGATAGATAGATAGATAGATGGATAGATGGATAGATGGATGGATGGATGG